AAAATATGTAATGTAAACTTAAGTTTATTTTGTTTTAAAAACTCGTTGCATTTCCAGTTTCCTGACAGCAAATTAAAATGCCAATGATACAATGTAAGAATAAATTGACTGGCAGGTGGAGACATTTTTTTTATATAAAGTGGACCCATGTAAAAACAAAATAATGAATCAGACGTGTAAGTTGTGTCAACTTAAAAGGTGATCTTGATTTGCAATGTCATTCATGTTCAGTTTATCTTTGATGCATCTTTATAATTTGCAATCAGGCCATCGTCATCATTTAAATTCCTCGCGTAATGGCGTGAGCTGACAGAACTAATTTAACATTTGAATTTTTATAATGATTTGAGCCTGTGGAGGCCACGGGGTAGGATTTTTATGAAGGCCCCTTCAATTTTTTTAAAGCATTAATAAAAGATCCACCTATGAATGAAAATGAAAAATATAGTTTATAAGAAAGAGATAAAGTTCTTGTAAATTTAATCTCACTTTCCTTTTGACAAAAATATTCTATTTTTATATTTTAGTTTAAAATATTGTATTTCTTTTTAGTGGGTAAAGACCATTAGGACGCATTGTCGTAAATCCGAAGTGAATTTACTTATTCCGAGCATGATACTAGCGTACACTTCTTAACCACAACATTTTTGCTTCCCGTAAAAATGCGAACAAAAATTAGTAAAAAAAAAAAAATTTGAAATTTCTGACTCGAATATTTTTTTAAAAAATCTTATTTCTGGAGGCCCCCGGGGCTGTAGCCTCGCCTGCCCTCCCTTAAATCCGACCCTGTAATGATTTGCTATGGAACACTAGTCTAGATTTGCTCTAATTTACACGTCTAGGTGGCTTTGAATTTCTTTAAGCAAGTAATGTTTTTAATGTTAGTTTGAATTTCTCATTGCGACATAATTTCTTAAGAGTTGGTTAGGTCGACAACCCAAGTAAACAGCCATTATAATATATTTCATAATTTAATACTAATTTAATAATAATAATAATTAAATATGAAACTGCGAGCGCTCCCTTACAGAGACGTTCGGTCTTCAGACCCCTGACAGAGTCTATAGTACCTTTTAGTTCCTAATCAGCTGTTCACTTGCTTTCTAAAACTTTTATTTTTTGTTTTTTTCTTGTTCGCCCGTCACATCAACAAAATATCCTGCATTGCTGCTGGACTAACGCCAGACATTGAAGCGGCATTGACGTCTGCATCTCTTACACTACAGTGTACTTGACATCCTTCAATCTCTTAGTGATGCCTAGGCTGTAACCATGAATACTGACGTTGTAGAGATGACCTTGCATAAATCAAGGTACTCAAAATAGTGGCGACATCCAATGATTCGTTACAGCCGTGATGTCCCCGTCTGTCTCGTCTAAGTGTGCAGACCTCGCATTGCTGCGGTCATCGCAATCACTGATCAGATTTCTAAGCAGTAGAGCATATGTCTCTGCCGTAACACTGGTCGTAGTCCACTGGTCTGGCTCTGATGTCCACATAGTCTGCAGCAGTTGCCTGCTTCAACATGTTTCTTTTGTTCTTCACTATAGATTGTGCCAAAGAGTTGAATGCGTTGTGCACGTTGAAGGAACTTTTCGCACTTGTTTCTAGGTAAGGGAGGCCGACACTGTCCGCGAAACTTTGGGCCGCCTCGAAGGTGACCACACGCTCTTCGACCTGGTCTGACTTTTTACCGACTAGAAGCAGCTTGCAGTGCTCAGAGAGGTCGTGAGCAGTCTCTTTCATCCAGCTGCTCATGTTGTGGAAACTGTCCATGTTGGTCAGATCAAACACGAACATTACCCCGTCAGCTCCTCTATAGAAGCTGGGCACTTTACGTCTGAATCTGTAAGGCGGAGCTGTGTCCCAAATTTGTAGTTTGACTTTTATCCCTGACACCTCTGTGGGTTTGTTTCTGTTAGGGAAATAAAAAAAATATTTACTTTGACTTCTATAAAGTTATGTTAAGTGTCAAATAGATTTTGTATTGTTTATGCTTTGATTTCTACTCAACTTTCCAAAAGTATCAATGAATAATGAAAGCAGGTCAGTGCTTGAAAAAAAAGAATTCTCATCCTATGAAATGTTGTTAAGGCCAATTACACTTTACTTAGCCTCGGATAAACTTGCACGGATTTTGGGATAAAAATATTTTTTGTACAGCATAGTAAATACTAACCTGAAGTCGACGCCTATGGTGGTGATGAAAGTGTCGCTGAAGCAGTCGTCAGTGTAACGTAACATCAGGGAAGTTTTGCCCACGCTGGAGTCTCCCACGAAAATGATTTTGAAGATATTCTCTCTGGCTTGTTGATTCTGTAGACATGGAAGCAAATACAATAACAGTCTTCATAAAGTAGCTCACACTGTAGCGTCCTTTTTGTAGGCCTATTATGAAGTTTGTGTTTAATTAGATGAACTAAGTTGTATTATTATTTTTTTGTATTTACAACTAAAGTGCATGGTGTTGTTGTTTTTTCTCACAACAATTAAGTTTAAACAAGAATCAGTACGCTTCTATGATATATGAAAGGTCACTAGGATAGTCTAACAATCGTACATCTAACAAACCTTGTCAATACATTTGGAATTTAAAGAAGTACAATCGTTCCCTTGAAATAACGCGCTGGAGAATCTTCAGAGTTCTGTTTAGACTTGAGATATCTTACAGCCTTGAATATGCGTTTTTTTTTTTTAGAGATGTCGGTGTTTACTAAATGTACTCTTTGAGGTCAGGAAGTTCGTGCCTTGACCACCATCTAAATGGTTCCTATAGCCAGTTGCCGAATATTTTCGATAGCCCATGTGAGATTCCATTGTGAAAAAAACAACAACCTACTGATAATATTTTATCGCTATGAGCAAAGGTTGTACTCTGGTTTGGATATTTTATCAATTACGTTCTGTCTAAATGTAGTTCTATTATTATTATTTTAATTTGGAATTTTAACTATTTTACAGGTATCTGATATTAACTGATATTATTATTGGTTTTGTTTAACACGTCTTTCGTGCTTCTTATAGCATGCTCCGTGTGCTTTGGTCCAACCGAGACCAATCGTCATAGAAGGCCCGAATACTGACCTGCAACGTCACAACCTGTGGGCAGCTCAGACCAATTGCGTGTTGCCAGGTCTCTACGACGTGGCAAAGAGCTGTTGATCTCCACAGCCTGTAGGTTGCGACGCCGCAGATCAGTGGTGAGGCTTTCTATAATGAATGGTTTCGGTCCAACTTCTTGGTGGATGTGGGCGTGTTTGGGAAAAGAGTATTTGGTTGAATGTATCCGCGCTGCCTTAGAATAGACCACTGATCTCGAGTTCCTAGTGTTGTCTGAAATGTTTCACCTTTCTTGTGTCAAATAGAACTATAGCTATGAGACCTTCATTTGTTAGATGACAATGTCGACCGTCTGTTCTGGATATAGCAAAGCAGGCATTGGACTTCGCTTCATAAGGACCTAAATAGATAGAGGCCTCTGCATTTTTCCACGCGTTGCAATCTTCAACTATGAAATATGTTACTATTCTGTGTATGAAATGAAAACTTATCATGGCATTCTATGATTGACACTGAGTTGTTATGTTGGTAAGTTACACAAGTGAAATTAGTGCTGTTTTATTTCGTACGTCGCCTTTGTCGTTTTCCTTCGCAGTAGAAGCATGGTTGAAAGCGACCTTGAGTTGACATAATGACGTGGCAAGACCAGCGTACTTCCTTCATCGTTTATCTATTAATAGATCTCTTGTTCATTTCGGGAAATCCCCATCGATTGGTACTGAGGCCTTGCTAATACTGAGGCCTACATAGTAACCATACACTTAGATTCTAGTGTTTTTAAAATAATTATATTGCAAGTCTATACTTTAGTACTCGTGATATGTTGTTGATAATTACGAGGTACTATTTACGGAATAGACAAATGAGTGGCTCACTTATTGTACCAGGAGCTATATAGACAACTCTCAGGATGTATTATTTTCTTTTTGATCCCTGTTAAAGGCGCCAGAGAAGTGAGCGAAATGCAATGACCATGTTTCCTTCACCTGCACAGAAACACAGCCTATGTTTGTTTGTTTTCTTAACTGGTCAGTATGGAGGTGGACACAGTCTGTGTTTAGGAGAGTCTCGTGGACATTTGAGGTTGTAAAACATTACTTCTCAAAAAATCTTTCGAGGGTATGGAAAGGACTGCATACATTCTCCGGCTATCGCTTAGTCACACTTGTTGTGATATCTCTTCTGGTAGATTTCATTGGTAAGCGAAATCATGTCTCCGTAAATAAAAGAATTCTTAACCATTGTGACACTTTTAGATCAACATCTGGATCGTTGTTGCCATTGCATTCTATCTCAGGATTTGTATTGGAGACACTTTTTGTTTGAAACTGAGGCTGGATTATAACAGTAGACTTGTGTACTCGATTTGACGTTTGTTATCCTTGAACATTCAGAAAACCCTCAAGGAACGACCTTTCATCGCGGTCTGATTGTACAATTTACTTAACCTGAGTGTAAAAATGGAATGTCTATTGTACGATTCTCACTCATAGGACAAAGAGTTTTTGTTTTCTTATATCGATGCTGTGGAGGCGCGGTGGCCGAGCGGTAAAGTGCATGGCTTCTGAACCAGGGGTCCTGGGTTCAAATCCTGGTGAAGACTGGGATTTTCAATTTCGGGATCTTTGGGCGCCTCTGAGTCCACCCAGCTCTAATGGATACCTGAAAAGTAAAGGTGGACACATGACACCCAAGTAACCCGTAGACCACAGAATCAGATGACCTTTACATCATCTGCCCTATAGACCACAAAGTCTAAAATGGGGAACTTTACTTTCTTTTTATATCGATGCTAGAAAGTCTTCAAGATGTTGTGGGACTAAAGACTTTCCAGTTTTAATACTTAAAAGACTACTTCTCCCATCTAGCAGAATCATATGTTATGTAATCAAACATTGTAGCTAATGTTTTAATCCATTCAAAACGAAACACGTAAATATTTTTTTTTTAATTTAACATTTAATGGATACTAGTATTTACACACAACATATCAGTTTTCAGTATGAGTTTTCAATCTCATCAATTGGTAATCAAATGCCATATACAAATAGTGCCCTGTTTCTTTGTTGTTGTTTTTTTATTGATTATATTTTTTTATTGTATAGTTTATAAAAAGATGTCGAGCTTTCATTCATTTATTGTTGGCTGATTATACTGTTTATGTAGGCAAGTTGAACTCTAGATGCTTTGTCAACTCACCATTTAGAAGCGATTTGATTTGGAGAGCTAAGTTCATAGAGCGAAGTATTTTGTTGTTTTCTTTCGGTTTTATTGAAGAAATGGTTTCAAGTAGCCCATGTGCCTGCATTCACACACGAATATACAATCCTTTGGAGTCTCTGTAATGTTACGAGAGCTGAAAGAGATTTGATTCTATTGTACCCAATGTTAAAGTTATGTACTCGTATTTGATATAATATACAATGTGGCTCGCACTTAGTCAACTCGTAGCAGACGTTGACAGCTAGTCATTGTTGACTGTCACACCTGGTTTCATTAAGAAGACTCATGTCCACACAATTATTGTGTGTCTGTATCATGAAGTAGACTCATGCCCACACATTTATTGTGTGTCTGTATCATGAAGTTAGACTCATGCCCACACAATTATTGTGTGTCTGTATCATGAAGTAGACTCATGTGCACACAATTATTGTGTGTCTGTATCATAAGTAGACTCATGCTCACACAATTATTGTGTGTCTGTATCATGAAGTTGACTCATGTCCACACAATTATTGTGTGTCTGTATCATCGTGTACATGATAAAGATGTATCTCTTCTTCTATTTTTACATCTCTCTCTCGGCACTTGTTTCTGTCTAGAGTACCGGTACAGGTTCGGTGATAGGTTTATAATGTTGAGCAGGTGTCTTTTCCGAAGCACCATCCAGTGTGGACTTGCCTGGCCCTGATGTCAATAAAACCAACCGGGGTGGCTGGAGTCAGCACGGATGATTCTTTCCGTTCCTTCACCAGAGTTTCTGCCAGATTATTGACTGCTTTGTGCACGTTGAAGGAACTTTTCGCGCTTGTTTCTAGGTAAGGGAGGCCGACACTGTCCGCGAAACTTTGGGCCGCCTCGAAGGGGACAACACGCTCTTTGACCAGATCTGACTTGTTACCGACTAGAAGGAGTGTGCACTGGTCAGAGGCGTAGTGGCGGGCATCTTTCATCCAGGTCCCGATGTTCTTGAAGCTGTCCATGTTGGTGACATCGAAGACCAGGACCACACCGTCTGCTCCCCTATAGAAGCTGGAAACTATATTCTTGAAACGGTCTTGACCGGCGGTGTCCCAGATGTGAAGTTTGGCGGAAACTCCTGAAACATCGATAGTTTTGATTCTGAAGAAGAAAAGAAAAAGATCTAGTAAGATCTTGATAGGAATTGATTTTAATGAAAACTTGGGAGAAAACATAAGATGTCAAAGAACTCTAAGAGTAATTTGGTCTAAATAAAAACATTCTAAAAACTTAGTGACCGACAAAGAAGAATTAGATCTTATCAAAACAGTTTTTTTTTCTCTATACTTGCAGTCTGATTGATGACTATGGGGTATAGTGGAAGTATGGCATAGAAGTTCTTCATCGTTAGCGTTAATTAAGAGTTTGAACTTTTTACACTTGAAAGTCATGAGTGAGTCATGTAATATACAAGGAAATAATGATAGAGATCTAGTCACATGGCCATACATTTTTTTGTAACTCTCTGTAATATCTGTGTGGATTTTGTTCAAAGATTTTTGTTCAATGCTTCGAATTGGCTTCGTTTGGTTCTATATTAAATAGTGAGATATTGTTGAGTGGAACATCCAAGACAAATGGTGCAAGTATATCATCTAACAAACTCATCTGTAGGATTTATAATTTTTACATGTAAATCTACCACAATTCGAATCTCAGAGTTTAATAATCTCCATAATCGTAATTCAATCCTTTTGATTGATTACACAATATCTATGAAAGAATTTGATTAGAACTGATCTATATACAAATGAAACTGACAGATTTAGAGGACAACTTACTTGAAGTCGACGCCTATGGTGGTGATGAAACTGTCGCTGAAGCAGTCCTCAGTGTAACGTAACATCAGCGAAGTTTTGCCCACGCTGGAGTCTCCAACGAAGATGATTTTGAAGATGTATTCGCTGGCGGCTTGCTGACTCTGTAGACATGGAAACAAGACCAAATAGCGTTTTTTTTTCATGCAATGCACCGCCCACAGCACGAGAAGAGTCTCGAGAATTGCGTCCCTAGAAACAGTACATACTAATGCTGGAGAGTTACATTTAGTTGCCGACTATTGACTCCGCTATTAAACAAGCTATTGTTTTGTTGTTTTTTTGTTTTTTTGTTATTTGAAACTAGCTCTAGGTCTCTACCTTTGTTTTTCAAAATTTCGATCATTGTCCTCTACAATATGTCTGCCATTCACACTGTGAACTAATCTAGATGTTTGTCTCATTGGAATTATCTATTGTGTCTTTTTGTTTCCTCAACGTGTGTTGTGTGGGTACATGTCCACAATATCAGGTCAACGGTTTGAACTGACCTTTGCTCTATAGTTCTAGTTTTATTTAACATCTAGAATCGGCATCCCCCCCCCCCCCCCCCCGGTACACAAGTTATTGATTTCCCGCCAGTTTGTCACTACCTGAAGGAGACTTTCGATTGGTATCACCTGTTGATACATTGATTGACTGGAATTTGAAGCGTTGGGGACACTGGCAGTATGACATAAGTACAAAGCTCAACGTAAACCCCGTCCTCTCTTCCAAGAAGTGTTGTTTCCAAACGAAAGAGAGCGGAGAAGAAGTTCTATGCAAAGTTGAACTCTTTAGCTCGGTCTACCTAAAGAAGGAGGGTGGTGAAGCGCTTGTCTTCCAAACCGGGGTTCGAATCCTGGTAAGGGATTTTTTTTTTTTTATCTATATGGCGCCTCTGAGTCCAGTCAGATCTAACGGGTATATGATGTTAGTTTGGGAAAAGGTAAAGGCTGTTGGTCGTTGTGCTGGTCACATGGCACCCTCGTTAACCGTTAGCAACAGAAACAGGTGGCCTTTAAATCGCCTGCCTTATAGATCGCAAAGTCTGAAAAGGTAACTTTACTTGAACGTAGCTTGCTACATAAGTTAGTTTGCCCCCCCCCCCCCCCTTCTAACTAGATCAATGATTTTTTTTTTTTTTACAAATATTTGCACTAGGTAAAACTAATCAACAAATATCTGACGCTAAATAACTAGAGATGTGCAGCACTGTTTTAATATAAACTAGAAGCTTACCATGGTTTGAACTGTGTAAACCTTGTCAAGGGGAACAATCTGTATGCTTTAGATTTGTAACTAGCGTGGACTGTTTTGTCATGTTCACGGTTAGAGCGACATATTTATAGGCCGTTCACTGATACGCTGTCTCTTATGGTGACTGGCGATTGAGACAGTTAAAAATGACGTGTCACTGACTAAGCTAGTATAATTACTAAACTAGATAGTGGCTTCTGCTATGGAACGTAGCTTAACGTAGCTGTGATCTAAAAATACTTTCTATAACCAATTTCGGGAAATTCCTATTTTGTAGTGAAGCCTGAAAGAGCCGATATTTGCTTCTCTCTCGCTGACAATCAGTGCCCTACGAATTGCGGGGCCCATTTTAATGGATGTTTGCGAGGCCCCTATTAGTATTAATTAGATAGTTATATAAAAACTTTTAACATACAACATGCATAGGAAACAGCTCAAACTTAATGGGCGCCAGTAGGTTTAATAAAGCTTTCTCAATCGAACGATACACTAAACATGTTAACCCTTTAAGTCCTACATCTTGGCCTGTGACAAGAGACATGACAGTGATATGCTAAGTTTAAAACTGCGGGGGCCCCTGTCAGACGCGGGGCCCAATTTAGCAATCGGCCTAAGGCCGGACCTTCTGTGAGGCTTCAGGCTTTTAGGCGTAGGTGAGACTTCTGTAGTATTTAGTTGACTAAACATAGGCGATATTCATAATTCATCGAATAACTGCTAAAACGCTATCCTTTGAAAAGTCACTTGGCTCTCCCTTGCCCCCATAATACCACAGAGATGTCACACTAACGTTTCATCAATAATCATTAGATGACATCAGGAACTTTAGCCATGCGACCCCAGCTCACTCTCATCACTTTGGCATGTAGGGCCGTGGAAGGGATGCAATGAATATATCACAAGTCATAGATGTCCATGCAGTGTCAATAAAAACCAGTTGAATGTTGAGATAACTCTAGCCACGTTTTATCTTTTATCTCCCCTTCTCTTGACACTCAAGTCAACAGAGTGATGAAACACAAGTCCCTGCTCATGTTCCTTTTAATCTATTCATCCAGTAATGAACAAACTGTGTGTTTTCTTGTGATCTGTTTGGTAACAGAATCCTCCCCCCCCCCCCCCCCCAATGGGTCCTGTTGTTGATTCCAGGCTCCAGATTATATTCTGATTCTTTAAAACCTCGTTTTTTGTTCTCTTTGTGCTGTTTAGGTTTTTTATTTTTATATTTCTAGACTTTTGATTGAGTATAGAAAAGCATTTTGTATCAGACAGTGCTTTTAAAAATGGGATTATATTAGAAAAAAACAACAACAAACAAACTGATGTACTCAGTCCAGGGATTATTTGGTTCATGAATATGAAAAGTAAAGGCTAGCGGCTGCATCTTGATTGTCTTTGATTCTAGGAATATTTCTCTGACTTATGTCTGATGTTAAGGTTTTATGATGTCAGTGGCACTGAAGACGTTTTGGCTGTTAATTAATTATAAAAATTCTAATTTTAATTTACAATGATAATTTGGACTAAAGATGGTTTGGGGTTAGGATAATATAATGTAAAATTTAAAAAGTTAAAATTAATTTGTATTGCCCTGGCCTACAAAGTTCTCCAAACTATTTTTTTCTAATTCTAAGAAGAATTCCAGTGTATTGTGTGCAGTGCAGAGCTACACAAAGTGTCTGTTTAGATCTTAAACTGTTGTGCATCTTGGAGTGGTTAGGTGTTTGTTGAATAAGATGGCAAATATCATTCCAGCATGTGGGAAACAAATCGTCACTTTCCATCTACTGTTTGCATTGTGTATAAAGTGTCCCTGCTGGTCTGGGTTCTGTAGTAGATTGAGTGTAGAAGTAACTATACATGCAGAAACAATAAGTTTGAAAATGAAGTTTCTAATTCTCTTTCAGACTCTCTCTACTTCTAACTAGTTCTTTGTCTGTCTTCAGTTTTTGTGCCAGCAAAAATATTTCATATTTTGTTTCTTTAATTTCTGAGCTCTAGTTTTCAACTTAATGAAACGGAACACAATTTTTTTTTATCAGTTCCTTTTTAAAAAAAAAAAAAAAGAAATACATGTCAAAATATTTTTGTCAACTGTCATGTGACCCTTTCATGGTTTTAAATAGACTTGAGCATTATTTTGGCTTTCATTTATTTGCTGGGCTTTTGAGTGAGTGTGTCACAGTGTGTGTGTGTGTCAGAATGTGTGTATGTGTGTTAGGGCTGGGAAATGAAAT